CGACTAGAATGAGGTGAACGTGACGGAACGGCATTGTCATCTAACACTAGGAGGATCCGCGGCAAACCACTTCAGGCCTTGAAGATTCACCTGCCGTGAGCGGCCGGAGGAAGGCAGAACCAGATGTTCGGCGCTGGGACTGGACATTAGAAAAGGCACGGGCAGAGGCGCTTATATGATAACGCTATCACTTGTACTTGAGCATCGGAAAACGGGTGAGATATCGACTCTTGTCTGAAATATTTGTGAGCTAGTCGATACCAATTTTCAAGGGTGCGCCGCGTGTGCGTCCTTCAATGGTGACGGTCGGTGCGATGCATGTTCTCAAGGGTACCAGTAGATTAGTAAAAGGTGAAGGCCAACTGATGATCGTACCTCTGACCCCTGCTACAATTAACAAGGCTCTCGAAGTGATCTGGGAGCAGGATCCAGGTGAATGTGACTACTTTTAGACCCCAGAAGACAAATAGACAACATACATTCATGTTCAACGTCGTAACACTGCGGCTGAGCCCCTAGTAAAAGAACATTGATTGTCAGAAAATAGCTGTTATCGAGAAGTCGGTACTGAGTAAAGGATGCCGTCACCAGTAATTGGCCGGAAGCAAACGAAGGATGACGATTCAACAAGGTGGATGTGGCGCGGGCCGTCCTTGCCTTGAATCCCGGCGGGCCGAGTCAATAACCTCAACAGAGTTTGTACTCCAACTTCACTCATTCTTTGCTATGGAGCAATTGCAAAAAAGGCGTCTTTGGAAGCCACATCCTGCAGACTGTACAGTGTACGGGGCTGCGCCGTGACATTCACTGAAAATCGCTGATCGAAAGAACTGATTTGTGGCTTCATAACATCTATTGAAAACATGACGGCGACGTGGCAATGAAATGTACAGACTTATTTAAATACTCCGAAAATTCTTCGGAAGCTAAGCGTAAGTAAATAGTATGCACAAGAGAGAGGGTCCGGTCTCGACTTGTGATAAGCAATGTTGTGAGGCTCTAAAACTCACGACTCGGCAGCATCAGAGGCCCCTACTTGTTAAGCGCGGTTACAAGTAACGGAATTTGCGCTCCTTCCTCTGCCCTCCCTGGAACGATGGGGATCAAAGCCGTACCAGCAGGACCATGCTGCAGCTTAGAAGCTCCCTTCGGCATACTGAATTCGAAGTTGCTCAAGAGCTCTGTGACCACGGATTGCAGCTCCATGACGCTGTAAAACAGTCAGATCTCGGCGATGGGGTGGCACTAATCTGTACTTACGCAAATCTCCATCTGCGGGTACAAGGATCATAGGTCAGACGTGAACTATTACTCGCAATACTCAATGTACGTACCCAAGGCATCCACGAATACCAGCGCCTGGATGTTATGGTTCTGCCGAAATCCGGAGATGCGAGCACGAGGCGAGGAGTGATGATCGAAGCGAGGTATGATTAATTAGAAATGATGTACGTCGTTAGGGAATATAATGGATTCCGGCGAGGGTTCGTGAGGAGACCTGAGAGGTCCGGTTTGCGAAATAAAGGAAATCAGTAAGCGCGAAGCAATTACTGAGGGAAATAGCCGGTAAGCGTGGAGCAATTACCAATATAGAAAGCCTGTAAGCGCGAAGCTATTACGGGCCGTGGGTGAAGGCAAGCGCTAAGCGTAACCTTCGGGTTGGTGTCAGAAAGCGCTAGGCGTATCCAACGAGTTGTTCAGCAAGCGCTAGGCGTAGCTGAGGGTTCACGCAGTGAAGGTGTCCTGAAAGTGGTAGATTGGTAAAAGCTTTTTAATACAATGTTACCTACGAGTTTATATACTAAGGAAAGATTAGAGTCATTATTATTCTATAATGTTCCATAATATTCCAGTATCAATACGAAGAATAGAGAAAGTAAGAGAAAGTACGAGCGAGTCACTACTAGGACCGAGAAGGCCGAGTTCGGGCATGTGTTGACTCATGCACCGAATCAGTGGATACCCAATATCCATAACACTGGATTAGCAAAGATCATCAGCAAAGTCTATCGTTAAGGAGATCTTAACGCTTACTGAAGGTCAGCCTGTGAAGCGATTGCCGTACCATCAGCGAGCGAAATGCACGGAGGAAATAAAACCATACAGATTCGCATAAACCCCAAGAGAGGTTTGCTTAACATCCCGGCCGTCAAGAAATCGACGGGGATTCCACTCGTCGGCATCTTCTCCCCATACTGAAGGAAGTCTAGACTCTAGTTAACGACTTGTCCCTCAGAGTGATTGAAAGGGTGAGTTATATACCGATTGTACGTATATATCGAAGCCAAGATGGCTTGTCCTTTGCGAATGGGGATATGCGAATACACTTGGCCATCTGAAGTGGTGATAGGCTCGGAGAGAGGCAGGACGTCATCCTGGGCGGGCTGACGGTACAGAGTATGCCCCAGGGGATGGAAACGGAGGGCTTCCTATTGCAGTCCATGTATTCATACTTGCCAGGAACTCCCGTTATATCAGACTCACTTTGATACAAGCATTCAGCCAGACCATTGAATCGTAGTCGCTCGAGGTGAGCGCTCCCGAGGCTTTCGCTTTTGTTTGGGAAATCTCTTCACGTATTCTTGCCTGATCCTCAGGATGAAGACTCAGCTCATACAGAAGCCAGGCCATAGTGTTCGCAGTCGTGTCATGGCCAGCCAACACGAACGTCCTGAGAATTCCAGTCAGCAAATGGAAGTCGACACGGAGTTCGAAGCAGCTTACGCCAGCTGAGAATCAATTTCTGCATCGTCCATCTTCTTCCTCGCATCATCATTAAGATGAGACATTGCTGAGTCGAGATAAGAGATACGAGTGGTGTAAAATGTATCGTACATACCGAGAACATTAACGATATCCTTCTCAGCCGGATGTATATCGTTTTCCACTTCCCTAAGTTGCTTCTCGAAGACCGGCCGCGATACTTTCGTTGCAACGTTTCTAAAGTGACTTAGCCGCATAGTTGCTCTACTCGGTATCCACTCGAGAGGCACTAGCAACCATCCAGGAAGTATCCGCCAGAGCGCGGTATACAGGAGTTCCACTGTCGTTGGCCACATCATAGACTCGCCGCTATTCAAAATGATGAGTACGCAAGATACTACACAAAGTGAATCATATTTGCATACAAAAGATTATTAACCGCTGCCATCAGCTCAGTCTGTCCGCCAGTGAGCGAGTTGAACTCATATCGGAAGGAGGCTGACAAGCCGACTGTGAATCTACTTCGACGATCATGAATGGAAAATGAAGACGCACTGATGCCTATGATATCCAGCGCAGCCTTGCTTGTCCATTCGAGCATATTGAGCACTCTGCCGTCCTCGACGCGCTGGTTGATCTGCTCTGTAAGCTAATGCAACAGAATAAGATACTGTCATCAAATCCCATGTCTCTCTCGCACCTTCATAGCTGACGCCTGAAAGACGGTCAAAAAGAGTCGTAGTTGAGATGCCGTAAAGGCGGGACCCAGGATTTTCCGTTGTCGTTGGTGGATTTCACCTAGGTTTCCCATCAGAAAGAGAAGCTTGGTGATCACAAGTTCCGCTAACATACCTTTCACTGTGGCTAGTCCTCGTCCCATGGCAGCCCCGTTAATGCGATCCGTATCTCCCGTTTTTGGGAATCGGTATCCAGACGAATGAAATATGTATTGTAACGCCTTGGGGTCAGCAACGGACAAAACATCATGCTACCCTGGACGTCAGAGTCGATAATTGAGAGATAAACAAAAGCTGCTAACTCCGAAGCACCCCTTTGTGCGGTATACGGCACCGTATTGCTGATACCATTCCGTCTCCAAATCTCCGACGTGCTGACGAGAACGAAGGAGGTGTTCATGGCCTGTTATATTTAGAATACAGACCAGGCGATGAGGCCGAGACAACAAACCTAAGAGGGCCGAAGGACTCGGAGGTCCACGAATCTTCCAGACTATAGATCTGCGACCCTTGAAGCGCAGAAACGCGAAGGTAAGAAACAGTGCGACTGTAGGGAAGACGAGGTAATGTATGATGGACTGCATGTTGTACGGATCGAAGGAAATGTTCTGAAGAGGAAGCCAACACGGACGGGCTTTTATCAGTGAATCCAACTGAGCCCGTCATAAAGAAGTCTCCGATCTTCGTGGAGAGGGTGACTACATGTGCCAGGAACTTCAACAAAACGGCCCCGTAGATTCAAAGTTCTTTGTCAAGACATTCGGATAAGCTGTAACCCAGCACATTGTATCAAACGAACGCAGGAGCACAATCAGTCGGTTTATCGATTAAACGTGGGAACTTCTGCGAAACGGGCCCGTCAAATTCTTAGTTTACCAAAAGCGTAAGGGTCCTACGGCAGCGCTTGGTCAGATAAACCCTGTCATCAATTTCGCGAATCAGGGCCTGGGCCAGAAAATCCCTGAACTAGGGTCATCGGGCGGTGAACGGTCGTCTTCGTTTTTGCAAATGTGGAGTTGACTGCCGAAGCACGGCTATCCTTCACATCATTGCACTAGACTTACAAGTCAGTATGGACGGTGAAGCAAAGCTCAGATACTTGAAAATTACTTGCCAGGAAGCAGGCAGGGCTCATTGAAAGGTATTTAAATATTTTTGAGCGCTCACAAGCTGTTGATGGTATTGTCATCTCCGGGTAAGGATATTGCCGACGCTGATAACTCACTGCGAAAAAGCGATATCTTTATCTCAAGCCATAGGGCTGGACAAATGTTGGTACCGTAACACAAGAAGATAATAAGGCGTCTTACTTTGTATCTTAATTTTCAGGCGTGAATGTCTTCACTTGTCACCCTGGAATGAATTCACATTTAGCCTACCAAGGAATGACAAAGCTGTATATCGTAGCTCAGTGTATGACGATGTCTAGGTTCGTCCTAGCATGTATCGAGTTAACACGTTGGTCCGGCGGAGCAAGAATGCGACCCTTCTCACCTCAATGCTTCTTTTATCTCATCACCGCGGAGTCGACCGAGTCTATGGAACCAATAAATTTTAAACGCTTAGAGGTGCGCATGGTCATCAATAACGCAAATGGCACCAGTCGACCTGCAACCGCGAGATAGGGAAGATGGCAAGGCAGACGGAGCGATACTCATACCTCCACTAGCACTGCAACCCTTCATTGATAGGCACGATTCTGTCGGCACCTCGAATCAGTGTGAATCTCTTGAGAGGATCCTCACGTTGGCCATTACGATTCATCGAGGCTTCGATCAGCAGTTGAAAAGTTTGCCGAAAAGTGAGGGAAGAATAATCGGCAGGTGAACAGTCTCCCATGACGTAGCTGGGATCAATCAGAAAGAGAAGAACTGGGCCAGGCCCTCATTGCATTGGTCTGCAATATGCATTACAGGACCACTGGCGATCTTTAAAAACACAAGTCGTTCGGCGCAATATTAGACGCGAAGTCACTAGTCACTAGAGAGCTGCAGACAGAAATCGGCGTAACGTCAACGCGAAAGAAATGATGTACGTACCTCCACTACCATCTACCAACCCTCCATCGGCAGCCATAGTTTTAATATGGTACTACCAATCAGCGCGTGTCTCTTGAGAAGATCTTCCATGTTCAATTCTCTTGGCGGTTATAATCCATGTGTGGGGCATATGGGCGAGGTGTAGAGGTTCGACCTGGAGAACTGGTGTTAGTGATACCGCATCATCGAAAGAACGACAAACGCACCTTTGTCGTTTAAGCTGACCGGGCGTCCCTTCCCAATAATTCTGGCAGCGTTGGTCGTCTAATCAATGGTCCCTTCGCAAGGTCGATACGAGTTTCAAAGCGGCCTCGAACCCGAGTGAGTGTGGAGTAGAGGATGAGAATGTCGCCTTGTTCGAAGAGATGGGATGAGCCGCGGGGGTTGGTCATTGTAATGAGGACGTCCTAAAAGTTTCAAGTCTTTTCCCACGGCCACAGTTGTTGGAGCGACCAATGACCATGTGATCTAAACACGGTCGCGACGCGCGTTCGAAATGCTCTCCTATTCTTAACTTAGCCCAGGCCTCTTCCATTTGCGTTGCCGTCCATATCAACATCTGTCCAAGAAGAATAGAATAAAATGTCTGCAACACACCAGCGGAGGACCTCGGCTCGAACGAGGTGACTGAACAACCGCTCATCCTGTTCACCTGCGGCTCCTTTCCTGACGTGATGCGGATCCATGCCAGTGATCGGTCCAAACAGCAGGGGCAAACGCCATCCTTGAAATACGTGCAAAGTACTCCCGGCTACTAAGAATTTTTCTATCGTGAATTTAGCTCCTGAATAGGAACGTTTGGACTGAAAAAAGAGCGAAAACTACGGACGCTTTTACGAAAGTGTGGGCGGGTCAGTGAAGCCCCGACATGCTTGGATGGTGGATTGAACAATTGACTGGCACGCCACACGGACTGCACTAGGAGTGCTGGTAAACGACAGTGTTATTTGAACTTAGTTGAAGGATTGCTGGAGCAAAATATGGTTCATTGGCGAAGAAAGACAGATCGTGGAGATTTATACTTTCCTACAAATAAGAATTTCAGACATAGTACGGGGCAAAATTTGACTGCATGGAGGAGACACCGCAGACCCTGGGATCGAACGAGGAAACCGCTTGGGCGAGATTCCAATTCAGCGATAAAAGCACAGTATCCTGAAGCACGAGCAGAATCACATCTGTACCTGAGTCCACTGCCGCATGTCAAAAGACAAGGAGAAGACTAACGCCCTAGCAGACATCGTGATTCGTGAATTAGAGAATCGCTACAAATTTTCCAAAAGAAAAGGCACCTCAATAACGGTGTCGTGAGGTCAGGTCAGGTGCGGCATACACAAGGCTGACCACTAAGAAAACAGGAGTAGTCTGGAATTAACATCAGCCGGAAAGACGCTCATAAGCCAAGAGAGAGACTTAGCGAGACGCATAACGAGTCTTCGCATTAAGTACTCGGACAGAAGAGGAAGGAGCTAACTTGAGAACGAGGATGGAACAACAGAGCCAATTGTTTGATACCAGAATCCAACGGTGAGGAAACGCTGGGGGCAGGGACGAATGGAACTGAGAAGATTTGAGCGAGCTCAAACCAAAGAAAGAGGTCGACATCTCTCTCCCCTAGTTAGGTCGTCAATTCATTGATTGTTGCCTCTCTCCCTGGATCAGGAAATGCGTAAAACCCGTTGTTTGACAGGATCAATTCGACGCTGACAAAGAAACAAAACACACCTACACCGGGGGTCCAGGCAAGACCGTCTCCCAGCTGGCGCACCCGGGAAATGTTCTCCAGGGTCCTGTAGCGTGAACTCTCCTTTGCGTCAGAGTCATCCCGCTAATTGGCCCATCCCAGAAAAGCAGGACGGCGTATTCGATGCATGGAAACGCGTCAGAGAAACCAAGACGACACGATGCTTGAGTGATATTGCGCCAACTTTCTTTGACTGTAAAGGTTGGGCACCATGGTCACCGAATACTGACCTGACAGATTATTAGTCCGCTGCTTTATAGATAACCAGAAAAATCTCACAGGCTTGCCCAGAGTTCTGTCCAAGCCATTGGCGACAATGGCTGAGTCAAGGAAAAAGACTAATCCTGAGTAATCCGGTCGCGTAAGGATTGTCTCACAGAATGAGAATGAGTGAATAATCAGCGAGGAAAGAAATCATGTATTCGACGTGCAGTGATGGTGGTGGAAGCGAAGACTCGGGGTCGGCTTGCGTCGGCTGATAGACACGACGCTGCCAAGCGCCACCAAACATCACCAAAAATGCAATCCTGCCTCGCGCCGGCAGTTGCTCGCAGCCTTCAAGGTTAGTTGGAACCTCGCAGTCTCGATTTTTTTCTCGATTTCCCGGAACAACGCTTCTGAAATATTGGTGACAAATCCAACGAATTTCCTCCAGAATTCTCAGATTCGCGTCGGACCGTTTTTCGACCAGCTGAGCCCGATTGAAGACAGGTTTACTAAGTATGTTGATCTGGGTCACGCCGAGCCACTAACTAAGTACGTCGAAGGAGCAAATTTCTCAGTCTGGACAGTCAGATTTGGGTGGATTACTCGAAGTTCACAAATTCTTCGTCGTTGATAAAGTTTCCTCGTTTCTTCGGGGTTCATGTGACTTGCTGGCACTCAGCGTATACTTCATAGCTTCTTACTAATGCAAGTATCTACCATGGCAATTTATAATGGATTGACAGTAGTAACATTCTACGGAAAGCACGTCCTCGTTCATTTTTCATCTCATCTTAATAATACAGCAATTATTCAGACATACTCGTGGTCAATCCATTGTATTTAGTCATGGCCAGCTGCTCAAGTATAACTAGGGCTTCGCACCGTCACCGTATAGTACGGTTATACGGGTGCCGTCATACGGGTACCGTGCCCGTTCCGTCTGGCGAAATAACTCGCCCAGAGACGGACGGTATACGGACATCCCGTATACTGTTAGCAACTGTATAAACATGGCCGTGTATGTATCTAAAAATAACCATCATCAGATCACACTGTACGCGTGTTTGCCATACACTTAACATCGTACCATGATGTGCTGGCACCGCAAGCTCTTCAGCGCTACCACCCGATCTTCTTTCACTCGCTCTACTCAAGCTCTAACCCTTACCAGCATAGAATACTTTCTATTTCCTGCTTCTGCTGCCTCTATTCTACTACTGTTTCATCCTTTGAGTTTGACTACCCACACATATTGCGGAATAATTTGCCCCCCACTGGCCTGTGCACCTGTCAAATACTGCTGAATTTTAAGCCAGAGGAGTTCATGAAAGAGTATATAATGGTCCTTTTTTCGCAGACTTACAACCACATTCTGAGCATCATGACAGATCAGTGTGCCCTCGATGCCAATGGAAACTTGAAATCCCCCTCGAAATTCAATTTTTATCACGATGCAGATGACGACGTGCCCATGGCAGGACCTGGAGCTGCTCCAAAGCCCCAAATATCAGGTATGTATTATTCCTGCTACGTTAGTAGAAGGTCTTATAGGGGATGGATGGTAGCCGAGTTTTTGACAGCTCCCCGAGCCGAATGTCATCGGACTTTCTATGTGTGGTAAATTTGAACGGCGTGCCACACATAAATTTCTGTTAAAGTCAGATTCTCGGTGTGGCAGTTTCTTTGTTTGTCACTTTGTTTACTGTGACTCATGTTACTATCACGCTCTCCACGGAGTTGCTCGGCTGAACTTCCATTCAGCTCTCCAAACAGTGATTCTGAGAGAAAATGCGAGCTGGTGGTGGCATCTGCCGCCACCGAGCGAGGCTTTTTCGAGCAGCACCCTTATTACTGTTAGTTTTTGAAGTCCTGATCATAACTATTTACTAACTGATTCAATTCACCCACAATCACCAATGGCATCGGCTCTGATTCCAACTCTTAGGTTCAATCGTGTATAAGTGAGGTAGTTTTTGGACAATGGATACTTTCATGAGGAGCGAACGTAGCAGGCTTTGCCCCAGAGCGGGCCTTACAGGATTATTCAACGGCCATATTGACGACTGGCAC